TGTCGGATTATCTCCTTGTGATAGGTCGACGTGTAGTATGTCGCTCTTATCCTCTGTCTCCTGAATCTCCCTCTTGCTTTTTTCTAATGCTTCCTCGTCGGTTATCCAACCTGTGGGAGGAGGCATTATTTTTGCTTCCACATCAGTCATCCAACCTGTGGGAGGAGGCATTATTTTTGGAGGTGACCCATACTTCTCAGAGCGAGGCACTCTCTTTTTCCTTTTGGGTGTCCCGTATAGTACATAGAAATCGAAAGGACGCCCAGATGGCTCCCCCAATAAGTCTACTTCGCGGACTCCCTCTTGATGTAGTTGCTTAAACAGGGTATTGCGTGATACTCCTCTTTTTCTCCTTTCTGCTTCTAGATCAATTTCCTCTTCAATGTCTGTCATCCCATCGTCCTCTTCATTGTTGTAGGCTTCTCCAGAAGTCTGGCCTTCTTCACACACCAACACGCAGGTTTCTCCTTCATTGTCCTCTCTCTCTTCTTCTTTTTCCTTATTTTTGAACTCATTGGCCAGTAGGTAATTGTTGGCCACGACAGGAGGCAACGTACCGAATTGGATAGCAAGGGGCTGATCTAGGTCTTCCTCATCCTTTTTGTCCCTCTCAAACCTTGATCTCCCAGAAGAGGTCTCTGGCAGTTCTTTCATTGATTCATCTGCACCAGTTTCTTTATTGCTTTTTAGGACGTTTTGATTGGCTACCTTGAGTAGTAGAGGTGCTTTAGGGTGTGGCATTCCTTGTTGCTGCCTCATCATCCGTCCGTAGTTTCGTTGGAAACGCCTTTGTTGAGTCCTGATCATCTCATCGAAGGGTATTGTTCTTCCTGCGCTGTACTGGAATGAACGCCATACATTTGGCCGGCGAGGTTGCGGCCTAAATGTTCTTCCAACATCTGTTGGTCTGAACTGCCTTTCAAAAGGCGGTCCTCTATAGAACGATGTACCTCGCCCTCTACCAGGTTGAATGTTTGGGAAGAAGGCAGGACGATAGGGATGCTGCCATGTCCCTGGTTTCTCCGTGTCTCCATTTATTTCTCTTTTACATCTTGCACATAGGACGTTTTCGTCCTTTTTTGGTTCTTTTCCTTTGATTCGTTCGAAGACGCTGGGATGTGGTCTTGAATCTTCTTCTCCATCATCTATGACTAACTTAAATTTTGGTAACTTGTTCTTGAATCCAGATGTTACCATGTTTACTCCGAGTGGCTGTGGGAAAGGATTCTCGTCCACTGCCATCTTTTTCTTGTCGTCGAACGTAATTCGTCCTGACTCAATAGCATCCTGTAATACATGACGGAAAACCAAGCAATTGTTAGTCATGTGTGACCATGTATTATGCCATTTACAATATTTTTTACCCTTAATTTGTTCAGGGTTTGGCAATTTGTGCTTATCGCTCAATCTTATCTGCTTATCCCTATATAATTTGTCGAATATAAGGTC